AGTTACCTGAATGTCAGATTGTTTCCTCATATTTGGGAAGTTTTCTGCTATTACTTCTGCCCATATTTTTTTAATGTCATTTGTATTGACTCCTTTTTCATTGATGCCTATTCGTTTCACATTGTTCATCTTTGCATCATCTTGCAAGTGATGGATTATTTTTTCCTGCATCCTAGTTGTTTTTAAGAGATCCTTTCTTACCTTTTCACTAGCTGCACCAGCATCTTCAAGATTTGAAACTCTGTTCACTTTGACTTAAATGGTTTTGCAAGCTTGTGATTGAGATTTTAAATTCCTCTCTATCTCTTTGACTCTGCTTCATGTGTTCTATTTCTTTCCTGTATTGCTCATTTAAGGAATCTGCCATTTTTCTAATCGCCTCCATTTTTTTTACCTATGTCTTCTTTAGAAGCAGTTATTAATTCTTTTACTGCAGTATTTTTTTTCAGATTGGCTTTCCTCCCTATGTTTCTGTAGTTTATTCTTTACTTCAGATGCTATGAGTTCAGAGGATTATTTTCTTATTTCAGAAAATTCTGCTCTGAGTTCCTCTATGACTTTCTGCTGTTGCTAATGTACTATCGATGCTATTAATTCATACTTTTGAGCTGAGTTAGTGTCCTCTGCACTTGTTCTGGGTGGGCATTGGGTTTCTTCCATATGTTTCTGCATTTGATTCTTTACTACAGATGTTATTAATTCAGTAATTTCTTTTTTCATTTCCAATCTGAGTTCCTCTATACCTTTCTGCAGCTGTTTCTTTATTTCAGAAACTGTTGATTCATTGATTTCAGCTGTGATTCCCAATTTGTTCTGTGTTGGTGTCCTCTGTACTTGTTATGGGTGGGCTTGGGTTCTAAGATTGTATTTTTCTCCTTCTCATTGTCATTTTGTGTAGCACTGTCTTCTGACCTTTGTTGTTGATCTTTGGTACAGTTATAACCTTAGCACCTACTGAAATTCAGGTGCAGATCTACAAAGTTTGGATTTATCCAGCTGTGCCTGGCTTGGGTCTGGCTCAGCTCCCTCCTGCTGCTGCCCTTGGGGGTGAACCTGTTGTGTCCCTCTGGCAAGATGTTCTGTTCCTGGACTAGCTGGATGGTTCTGTCCCGTACACTCTTTGCATGATTGCAGCTGCAGGGTTTCACTCCAGGCCTGTATGCCAGGCCTGAGCTGAGTCTGGAGGGGACAAAGTGGAGTAGGGGGGAGAGGTAGCTCTCCCACACATTCACTGGGCCTCGCCCAGGACTGGATCTGGGAGTTACCATAACGCGACAGAAATTCCTATTCAGTGGGAGGGGTGAAGGGGAAAATGGAGTGGTGGGGGGCATCCCAAGGGGGTGGAAGAGGGTCTCACCCATGCTGCACCTGTGCTGGGACGGGTAGGTCCTGCCGGCACAGGGTAGCTGGAAGCTCCCCCACACACTCCTATAATTATTGAATATTTCTTCTCTTTCTGTCTCTGTGTCTTTTTCTCTGTTTGAACACTCACACACATGCATGCACACACACACACACGTACACACACACACACACACACACACACACACCTCTGACACTTCTATTCCAGCTTGATCTTGAAGGCTATAGATATATGGCCACAAAATTTTAAAAAATATTGAAATTAAAAAGTAGTTCAATCTTCCTATCATCTTGATAATCTCAATAAAAGTATCTGTAGAGAAGGAATGAGGATGATGTTCACAATTCTGTATTCATTGCATCATTGCTTATTGTTTTTCCAAAGCTTTCTAGAAACAACACTCTAAGATACTTCCATTCAAAAGTCATGCTATGCCTTTTTGTATTATATATTACAGAGAGCTGGCTAAATGTAGGAGTTTTATTCAGAACCTAGGTAGAGATTAAAGGCACAGAAATGGCCTAAATCATCAGAAAAGACCCAGCCTGTGTAGGCAGCTTCCCAATTCTACTTAGCATAGAACTTGTTTTATAATAAGAAAGTAAATAGGTAACTTCATCAGTATTAGAAAATGTGCAATCTATAAAGATCTTGATTTTCATTTTAAAATGAAATAAAATTCCCATTTTCTTATTTTGGAAGTTAAATAGAAAGTACTCATAAACTTATATCTATCTACCTCTTTACAGAGAGATCATTCTAAAGTGTAACACAGTTAATATCATAAACAATCTTGTCTTTATGAAGATCTGCTAATAAAACATTGCCATACAATCATCTTTTGTAAACCATTAGCTCATTTTGATATAAGTTCATGTAGCCTCCAAACATTTATTAAGTTAATTTCCAGCTCTAACATAAAAGCCAGATTTTAGCACTTACTGAAAAACAAATCCTTGAAACTTTTGAGCATTGTACAACCTATCATCTTTCAAACCAAATGAAATAATTGCATAATTTTATAGCTTTTTATGAAAACTAATTTTCTCCTCAGTGTCTATTAATTTGATTTTTATTCTCTTGGGGGAGAAATTTGTTCTTTCTTATTTATTAACTGAATACAGGGATTGTCTAGCCAGAACAAATGGTTCTTGTATTCTTTATTAAAAATACTCCTTTCAAAAGCAGCTTCATCTTCACTTTCAGGATCCTGTACCTTACTGTGTTTAAATCCTGAATTGAACGCATTCCTGAAGGGTTGAAGGACGCGCTAGAGCTTTCAGTCTGCCCTTCATACCTGCAGCACTCACTATTTTGCTACTTACTTTCTTCCCATGGTCCTCAGGGCTGCCACCTATGAAGTTTAGCTATTCCCTCATGAAGTTAAAAAAATAGTACAGTGAATAATGCAGATATCAACTGGTAAAATGATAAATTATTAATAACATTACCACAAGGTTAGGGATGTAGGTTGGGGCTAGGGTACTTGCCCAGCCTGTGGCAGGCTGTGGGCTGAATCCCCAGTGGCAGAAAAAATAAATAAGTAAAGTAAGTACAGAAATGCAACAACCCCAAACCCAAAGTAGAAAAATGCACCGTGGTCCTTTATGCAAGGGTCTTTATATCCAAGCCCCTCAAATCTGATGTTGACATTTAATTCTGGATGGTGAGAAGGGAGTTTTGCCTTCCAGAACTTGAACAACATGAGTGTAGTGACTTCCCCAGTGCTAGGCCTGCAGTTCGGGTGAATGTTTTTAATCACAATAAAATTCTTAGTGAAAATTACAAAGAGTCTGAGAAGAGTTAGGTTTGACAGATCAAAATTTTAGACATGAGGGGTTCACTTCTGAGACATGGTTGGTTGTCAGTGGCTCTGGCACTGTTCTGGGGACTCTACCCCAGTTCTAGCAAACTAGGTTGATGTTGAGCAGAGAAATGGTATTTTGCTTCCTTAAAGTTTCTTATTGCATTATAATCAAGGAATATAAAATATTATAGCCCTGGAAATTAACTAAATACACAAAATATGTAATTCAGCTACGGGATTCTTCAAAGACCTTGATGTTATGTGGCTCAGTTTCACAAATTAAACTCCTATTTCATAGTCTCTACTAATCTTGAAATTATTCTGTACACCACAATATCTCTTCCAGAACCCCATTCTATTACTATTTTTTAAGGCTTGGCATTGAAGGCTTCTGCTTTTCTTTTATCCCCATCCCCAGTGCTCCCATAATTTCTCCTCTCATGGTGAATTTAAAATTGGAGTGAAACTTACTTTCTTGTATTGCATTAAGAATCTCTGAAAAGTCCACACCACTCTTTGGGCCGTCAGGGCGTGTTTGCATATCCAGCTGGCAGCCTTGCAAATCCACACCTCCTTCTGGAGAAATGAAAGATATTCATGGAGTTTGCAACGGGTAGCGGAGAGCCCAGTACTCGGGCCCTGGGAGAAGCAAGGTCAAAATTCAAAGGAACAGCTAGTTCATCCTCCTTCTTTCATAAACAACTTAGAAAGAAAAGGCAACAACAGCAACAAAACAAAACCACAACCACAAAAGAAACAAGGACTATCCACATGCTGTTTGTTCCTAATGGAAAAAGAACAGGTTCACTTATCTTTTTAAAGCAAAAATAAACTAATATTTTTTTTACACTATATTAGTTGTAGTGTTTACTAATCATTTCCTGGCTGAAAAAGATAACATGTTAAGTTCCATCCAAGGACATTTAAAATTCTTTTCAGTTACACATGGAATAAAAGTGACATTCAACACAAATACTTTATAATACCACTTTCTTCCAAATTATAATAATTAGTTCTTTAGGCAGGAGTTACTATTCTTGATAATACAAAAAACAAAGTATCCATATTTTTCCTCTCACACTTGGACCTCCCTGTTACATCCTTTATTTTTTTCAACTGTACCAGAACTTTGTTGTTGGTTCTATGAAATAACTACCCCCTTTGCATTGGGTTTGTGTGATGAATTTGGTGTTTTCTAAATGAAAAAGATTCTAGCACTCTGGGAGGCTGAGGCAAGAGGACTACAAGTCTGTGCCCAGCCTGAGCAATTTGGTGATTTTAGAAAGAGCTGGAAACTAGCTCAGTGCAAAGGCCCTTGGTTCAATCCCAAGTACTGGGGAAAAGTTTTCTGCTGTTCCAAGTACTTACAGAACATCTGAGGAAGCCAAAGAACCAAGATATCAAACAATAGCTTTATCATTAACAAGAATACACCTTCTAAATGCTTCTTAACCAGGCAGAATCCTCATCTCCAGTTTGATGATTTGCAAAAGCGAAAGGCCAATGCTAAACCAGACAATGATGGACACCATGAGGTGTGCCCCAGCTGCCAGTATCCTCTGAGAAATAATGCTTTCCTAAGCTCAAAAAGTGGACTTGGTCATATCAGTCACCTTCCTATAGTCCCGAAAGAAGACACTGTCACTGCCTTGATGGCTGCTCTCTTTAGGAGGGAAACATCCACAATTGATAGAAGGAAAGTTGCACCTCGGGCAGGCAGGGTCTTAGCACTTGAAACACTGCCTGGCACACAGTAGGCCCTCAGCCAGCGTGGGCTGGATGAATGAAAGCCAGGCAATCCTCATGAAACAAGTACCTAGGGCAATAAGTATAGCTACCAGCTCAGACTCCGGAGTCAGAGAGAATAGCATCCAAATTCTTTTAAGTCACCCCCAAATTCTCTAAAGCTTCAGTCTCCTCATCTATAAAATAGGGATGATAATTACAGCCATGAGGATGAAATGAAATAATGCACATAAAGCTCTTGGCCATCAGAGTCCATACTCAATAGATGGAAGCTACTTCCTGCTATTCGCTTCCATCCATAATGACCATGAAAGTGACACTGGCACGCACAGAGAGGATACCTCATGACACACACTGAGCAGGGCGTTATAAACCAGTTCTGAGGGACCCCAGGAGGCAGACACAGTGTGAACTTCAATGCCATCACTTCATTGCCAAATCTACGTCACCCAAGGGACATCTTTTCAGGCAGGACACACAAAGATCCTATTGGCCACAGTTAAAACAAGATGTTTGTCTTTCCCCTCATGGACAGATACTTCAAAGAGCTAGAGAAAAGCCCTCCTGTATTTCTGTCTCTTGGTTGGATGATCAATTGCTGTGTTCTGTTCTGTGGTCAAAGAGCTCAGAAAGGCAACAACAACAAAAAATAACAAGAATATTCAACAGTGACCATCTGCCAGGTGCTGTGCTGTGTCTTTTATCTTCTCAGTCTTTAACCTAGAAAAGGAGGGACACTGGGATAAAGCAATTTTCCCAAAGCCTCACATCCACTGAGAGGTCCAGAGGCCACCAGGTCACGTGCTTCCTATTAATCCTTATCCACCTGTGTCCCAGCAGTCACACATGCACACTGCTGAAAATAAGAGACTGCACTTACCCAATAAATATAACAGAACCCAAAGAATAGCCTCATATGCTACTCCTTCAGACCAAGACAAGAGCCGCTGTAGGACTAAGCAAGCGATGACCTCTGGAGTGCACTAACACACAGGAGCGCAAGTTGTTTATTTGTTGTCACATTCATAAGCTCCTAAATGCATTCCAGAAGTAGGTCTGATGACCAGGTAACTACAGTTTTTTGTAAGTAAAATTCCACAAAATCTTAATAATTTTTAAAGTCAGGGGACAGTACAGAGGTACAAAAAGTCACAAAAGCAACACTGAGGAGGTATGCATGTCACTAGGTCCTACACTGAAAGAATTCTTAGGGACATGAGAAAATGAGAAGGTGATACAGGCTTTCATCCTTATAGAAATGGGTATGACAGTGTCAGCTTCACAACCTATAGACATAGGCATAGGCATGTCCTAAGCATATTAAAAAACTAGACTAGAAAAAAGAACAGAAAGAAAATATTCCACATGGGTACAGAGTCATGGCCAGCTGTGAAATTATGGGTAAAATTTTTTTATCTTTTATCCTGTTTTCCTCAATAAGCACAAAACATTTTATAACTTTAATGACATTAAAAACCTCAGACTAGAACAATGAAACATAATAATTACCTAGAGGTCAGAACTCAAGACCTAACAGGCTACCGATATCACACTATAGATATCAAATATGCAATCTAAAAGAAACTTTTGTAAATGAATGCAAATCTTAAACTGGGTAAAGCAAACAGCTCCAAGCTGCAGGATGTAACATCCTCCTCAGGACAACCATGAAGACAGTATTCATAATCTCCAGTGTACAAGGCGCCTCTGTTCCTCTCTGCTCTCCAACACAAAGTCCACTTTTATGAAGAGATCGTTGGCTGGGGGGCCTCTAGCAGTAAGCCACTCATGAAACCCTTGAGCTCAAAGTAGGGGCGCTGCAGAAGAAGGGCGTTCTCAGCTGGCAGGGGACTGGGGTGAAGGCCACCTTCACGGAACCCCGCAGACCACAGCCTCCACCGCAGGGAGCAGTGCCTAAGTCACAGGAGCTCAGGGACTTCGGGACGCGAGATGTGACGGGGCGACTTTGTGCTTTTGATATTAACTTACTGTGACGCATATAGCTTTGACATTTTCTCTAAAATGTTAAGAGCTTGCGCTCTTCCCCACAGTCAGAGTCGTCTCCAGCACTCACGAGGCACGAGGCTAAGGCGGGAGGATCACCGCCAATCTGAGGCCAGCCTGAGCTGCACCGGGAAGCAAAACGAAACGAACGAATCCGCAGATCTAAAAGCACTAGGTGAGAGGCGGAAGATGCCACGGTTTCGGAGTGGAGACCAAACTGTAACTCAGAGCCTCGGCAAAGAATACGCAACTAAGAGCAACACCGAGGAAGCTAAACAAAAACGTTGCATAAGAGGGAAGCTTAAAAGAATCCTCAAGAGGTGAAAAACAGACTGAACAATTAAAAGAAATTAAAATTGCTATAAAATCCATCTGACCTCGCAACTGAGCTTCAGCTTGTGTCATACGCCATGAATCACAGCGGTTACCCTCAACTATTTGCAGCGATTCTGCGGGCCGAGTAAAGCTTAAAATGAAACCAGCCTTGACAATGCGCCTGCATTTCATGAGTGGTCTTCAGTGGGCAAATAATAGTTCAAAAATTAATTTTAGACTTTCATCTAACTTGGATTTTAGCTAAGCACAAGAGGAACAGCAGCAGCAGCCGCAGCAGCAACAGCAACAATAGAAGAGTTCTAAGCACAAGTTTCTCAGCAAATATATCCGCATCTCTCTCAAGTCATTTCTGTTACAGACCCACCTCAAACTGCTTCAGGAAGCCTCTCTCTCTCTCTCTCTCTCTCTCTCTCTCTCTCTCTCTCTCTCTCTCTCTCTTTCTTTCTCTCTTGTATTTGGTACAGAGTCTCCCTATGTAGCTTGGACTTGTAGTGCTCCTCTTGTTCTCAGTCTCCCCAGAGCTGGGATTACAGGCGTGCATCACCATGCCATTGGGTAATCTCAGTAGCTCGCTCAGCCTGCCCAGGGGTGGGGTCAGTGTGGCATGCAGGATCAGGGATTGAACCCGGGTCCCTGCACTTGCCTAAGCAGTCGCTTAGTCCTCGGGCTATCTCACCAGCCCAGGAAGTATATCTTGATCCTAATAAGTAAAGGCTGTACTTCTGCCCACTGAGCCCATGGCAATTTATATTTTCTCTTTTGCTATATGTATTTTCCATTCTAAATAGGTTGGCAACGGACTTACCACAGTTGGAGCAGACAGAGAAAACTGGAAGCCTTAATTCTACCGCCGTGTTGCTTGCACCCTCTACTGGACTGGAGGGCAAAGCGCACCCATCTTTTACCTCTACCAAGCCTAAAACGAAGCTTTGAATACGGTCATCGCTCACCTAATGGACTTGTACTGTAATTTCACATTATAGTAATAGAGAGACTAAGCAATGCCCCAGTTTTTCTTCCAAACCTCCTATTAAGGCATCTCAAGATGTCTGTGAAAGGCATATGATAGGTCATGTGTTTTTTATGGTCTTTAAAAAATTTATCTGGGCCGGAGAGGTGGCTCAGAGGACAAAGTACCTGCTTTGGCAAGCTTGGGGACCAGAGTTCAATCCCTGGTCCCGCATGCCCTGCTGGCCCCACTCCAGGGCATGCTGAGCTAGTGACAGAATCCAGGCATGGTGGCGCATATCTGTAATGCCAGTGCTGGGGAGGCTGAAAACAGGAGGAACACTATGAGTCTGATCTGTGTAGTGAGACGCTATACCAAATACACACACACACACACACACACACACATTAAATAAACTAATTAATTAAATTTTTATCAAGTAATAAATAACACTGAGATACTATCTCACCCCAGAAAGAATGGCTATCATAAAGAAATCAACAAACAAAAAATGTTGGAGAGGCTGTAGGGAAAGAGGAAC